CAACTCTTGGTAAACTACCCCAAGACACTACTAAAGTCACCTTCAGACTTCACAATGAGGCAGCCATTAATAACTTCACAACAGCAGTAGCAAACATTGATTGGCACACTAAGCTAGAAATCTATACAGATATTGACGAATGTATTATAATTTTCTAAAAAAGACCCAATACCTCTATAAAAAAGCACTGCCCTAAAAAAACTAAACAGATGACAGCTAGAGACTGAACAGTCCCCGGCTAACACCCAGCATTCTCAAATCCATAAATACAAAACACCAATATGAAAAACAGTACAGAATGGGTCACATAACCAGAGACCAAACAAAACGTTACTCGTCAATCCTAACCAGCCTGATAAGAAGGGCAAAAAAATTGTATTATGAGAAACAGATTATCCAACTTACGAGGTGAATAAAAAAGACCTGGAAAACCCTATCAGAAATTCTGGGAACAAAAAAGATATCATGAAATAGCGAAATAAAAATTAGCAAAATCAGATGAACCCCAACTCCACCAACAGAAACAGCAAACAGACTCAATGATTTCTTCTCCACTATAGGACAAAAAACCCTTTCCAATAAAATCCCAAACTCAGATACCCCACCAAATGACTACCTCACCGGCAACTACCCGAACACACTGTTCCTAGCTCCGATTAACCCATACGAAGTCTCCCTTATTATCAACGCACTAAAAAACAAGGCAGGAGATTTAAATACCTTACCACCCTTTATATACAAAAAACTGTCACAAGTGCTATCACCAATCATTGCAACACTCTTTAACAAATCCATTGAATCCTCCACCTTCCTACAGTACTCAAAATAGCAAGGGTCCCCCCGATCCACAAAGGAGGAGACCAAACAGAGTTGAATAACTATAGGCCAATATCCAACTTACACCCTCTCTCAAAATTTCGAAAAATTAATTCATAAACGAATCTACTCCTACCTTATCTCCCAAAACATGCTCAACCCCTGCCAATTTGGATTCAGGCCTAATAAAAATACTAATGATGCTATTATACACATGCTAGAACATATATACACTGCAATAGAGAAAAAAGAAGTCCACTGGGATCTTCATTGACTTACGTAAAGCTTTTGATACAGTTGACCATGACTTGCTCCACGTAAAATTGTCACACTATGGTATAAGAGGGCACTCCCTCAACTACCTCAAGTCATACCTCAGCAACAGAAGCCAATATGTGTACGCAAATGGGGCAAACTCTTCTGCGCAACCAATTACAGTTGGTGTCCCACAGGGAAGTGTCCTTGGCCCTCTTCTCTTTCTCTTATACATAAATGACCTTCCAAATGCTTCGCAATTACTCAAACCCACATATTTGCAGATGACACTACATACGTCTTCTCTCACCCGAGCCCAGTCACGCTAGCCAATACTGTAAATACCGAATTACAAAAAATATCTACCTGGATGAGGACTAACAAACTTACACTAAACATTGACAAAACCTACTTCATTCAGTTTGGAAACAGGCTACAGATGTCCTCTTAACAAAATTTGATAAACGGATCACCTATCACAAAGCTAACAGAGGGAAAATTCTTAGGAATCCACCTTGATTAATAGACTCAAATTTCATACACATATACAAAAAATTTTCCCTAAGAAAAATTTCCCAAGTCTGTGGGCATACTATCGAAGATAGGGTTTACTATGTTCCACAGTCAGCCCTCCTGGCCTATATCATCTCTTATTTAACCCTATCTCACCTATGGAATTTGTGCATGGGGCTCAACAACAATTAACCATCTCAGACCACTAATTACCAACAAAAGGCTGCAGTTTAGAATGATAAAAAATTCTCACTACAGGCAGCACATCCACCAATATTCAATACACTAAACCTACTCACCATACAAAACATCCATACTTATTACTGCCCTATTACATACATAGAACACTTAACTCTGATATTAACCCTCCCTCAAACATCTCCTTGCCAACCTCAACAGAAACACATGACCATAAACACAAGGCACAGATCACTCTTTGATGTTCCTCGTGTCCATCTCACACTATGCAAAAACTCAATGCACATAAAAGGCCCTAAAATCTGGAATTCATTACCTGTAAATATAAAAGAAACATCCCTGTTTATAAATTCAAGTCTCTTCTCAAAGATCACTTACTCACCCAAAACTAAATAAATACTGAATAACTGAACCTTATAAATTGTTTTATCTTAAATGTTTCTCACAATTATATCATTTTAAATGTTAAACCTAAAACCCAATCTAACTTTATTATTTTTTAAATTTACACTACCTAACAGAATACTCCATACGACTGAATGTACAGCAATGCATGCAACCATATGACCTGTCTTTGTAATACTCATTTGTGCTTTATAGTTATCTGTTTACAATAATGTAATATCACTGATTTCATCATTGCTTAGTTAATTTTAATTAAAGCCAGCCCGTAATGCTATGCATAGTGTAAGTGGCTTTGGCATGCTGCTCTTATCTGTATTTTTTTGTACCTCTTTATGTATGCTCAAATTGTTAATAAATAAATAAATAAATAAATAAATATAATTTTGAAAAAATATCATATATGGATTAATGAAAATGTCTATATTAACGTAATATACGACATTTAATGTGCCCAAGAGATTATTATATGGCGTCATGAGTAGAGAGGCTCTCGTGATTTAATGTGTACCTGCATGCCAGCACAGTGTGTAAGTATATTTAGGTACAGGTACACATAAGTATAATTATCAGATTACATATAAAATACAGTGGAACCTCGGTTTTCGTGATTCATCTGTTCTAAAAAGTCTGACGAAAACCAAATCGTACAAAAACTGAAATAATATTTCTCATATGAAATAATGTAAATCCAATTAACCCATTCCAGACACCCAAAAATATTAACAAAAAATACATTTTATAGAGAATAACTACGGTTTTACATACAGAAAACAATGAAAAATAAACATAAATGACTAATGAAATGGATAAATGAACATTTAACATCACTTTTACCTTTATTGAAGACTCTTGTTGGCATATGGAAGATGGCAAGGAGGGGAGGGGAGGAGGAGAGGTTATTATTTGGAAGGGGAATCCCCTTCCATAAGGACTTCAGGTATCAAGGCCCTATCTGGGGTTACTTCCCTTCTTTGTCTTTTACTGGCACTAAGACCAGCTTTAGAGTCACTGTACCCCTGTCGTACAAAAAATCTGTCCAGAGGTGTCTGTTTCTGGCGTCTCATTAAGATTTGCCTAAAATGACACAAGGCATTGTCATTGAACATGTTACAGACATGGCTTGCAACAGCTTTGTTAGGGTGATATTTCTCCACAAAACTTTGCAACTCACTCTACTTTGCACACATCCTTAATCACTGAAGAAGACACATTCTCCCCTCTCTCTTCCTCCTCCTCTGAAGCAATTTCCTCAGCTGCAGTCTGTTGCTGTCCCAGTTGAAGGTCGGGTCTTGCAGCTCTTCAGTGGTTAGCTCTTCCCTGTGGTTGTCCACCAACTCTTCCACATCCTGGCCATTCACATCCAACCCCATGGGCTTCCCCAAAGACACAATAGATTCCACAATAGGTGTAGGGTCATCAGGGTCAGCCTCAAACCCTTCAAAATCCTTCTCAAGGACACATTCTGGCCACAATTTTCTCCAAGCAGAGTTCATCATGCTGGAAGTCACTCCCTGCCAAGAATTATCTATAAGGCTTATGCAATTGAGGATACTGAAGTGATTCCTCCAAAACTCTTTTAGTGTCAATTCAATGTCTGAGGTCACTTCAAAGCACCTTTGAAACAGTGCCTTGGTGTAGAGTTTTTTGAAATTTGAAATGACCTGCTGGTCCATGGGCTGGATGGGAAGAGTGGTATTAGTGGGCAAGAACTTCACTGTGATGAAACTAAACTCCTCCAACAAGTGGTCTTCCATATCTGGAGGATAAGCAGGAGCACTGTCCATCACCAGGAGGCACTTGAGTGGCAACTGATTTTTCCATGAGGTATTTCTTTGCACTTGGGCCAAACACTTCATTGAACCACTCAATGAAAATTTCCCTCATGACCAATGCCTGATTGTTAGCCTTCCACATTATACACAATGTACTCTTGATAACATTTTTCTTAAGCACTCGGGGATTTTCAGAGTGATACACCAGTAAAGGCTTCACTTTAAAATCCCCACTAGCATTACCACAGAACAAAAGAGTTAGCATATCCTTCATAGGCTTGTGTCCTGACAGTGCCTTTTCCTCCTGCATGATGTAGGTCCTCTTCAGCATTTTCTTCCAAAAGAGGCTTGGTTCATCACAACTGAAGACTTGTTGGGGAGGAATCCTTCAGCCTCTACGTATTCCTTAATTTCATCAATGAATTCTTCGGCCCCACGTTTGTCCGAAATTGAAGCCTCGCCATGCCTTATCACATTGTGTATGCCAGTTCGCTTCTTGAATTTGTCGAACCAGCCTCTGCTGGCCTTAAATTCACTAACAGCAGCACTCATTCCAGGCATTTCCTTTGCGAGATCCGCATGCAACTGCCTTGCCTTTTCACAAATTATCGCCTCCAAAACACTATCTCCCACTAACTGTTTTTCGTTGATCCACACCAACAACAACTTCTCAGCATCTTCGACTGTTTGTGATCTCTGTTTCATTAGCAAATTTACTCCTTTCGCAACATCAGCTTCCTTGATTTCTTGTTTTACCACGGTGGAACTGATCATTGATGTGGACTTCCCATACATCCTGGCAAGATACACCACGCATATGCCACTTTCGTACAGCAAGTTTTGGTCATAATTTGAAATTGCTGCATTAGCGGAATCCTGTAAGGTGAAACGCCATAAAGCGGGGCCCTACTGTATAGTTACAATCTTAATTTTTTGAAAGATAATACACCTTAGAAGTAAAAACAAAAAAATATCGAATAACATACTAGGGTAAATCCTAAAATCTCAGTAAGACTTATGATATATAGTTACTGTACTTACATTCCACCAAGCCATAATGATATAAGAAATAGCAGATACAGTAGTCGCTTAATCATCTTTTGTCACCAGTGCTGAATGTAAACCTGAGACAAAGAAGAGAATAAAATATCTAGAGTATAGTATCTGAGAAATGATCAGCATTAACATTCAATATTCTGTTGGAGTGTGAGCAGGGTAATATTAGTAAGGATTCAGTAAACTGGTTAATTTCAAATAGTCGACTTGAGTCGGAAATGGGAATACAATGCCTACAACTTTAAAAGGAGAGGGTTTGGGATTTGGCGTTTGGAGGGAAAGTGTGTATCTATTAGTATGTTTATCTTCTAGATTTGTATTCTGAGACCTTGCAAAAACAGCAATAATTGCAGTATGTGAAGTGTTGAATAATGCATGCACAGTATTCATATTTGGGCATTTTCTTTCTTTTTTGGTCACCTGCCTCGTGGGAACGCCACTGTTGAAAAAAAAAAAAAAAAAAAAAAAAAATTCACATGCACAAGGACATGCCACATAATACAAGCAATGGAGGATCCCAACACATAAATGCTCCAATTTACAAACATCCGTCATGTCACAATGAGACATTAGAACAAACATAAACAAAGGTTTATTTCTTTGCAAAGGGTACGTGTGATTACATTTCATAATTTGATGTGTACAAGAAAGCATATCAACTGAGTTTACACAGCAAGCACAGTAACATTTGAAGCAACATCCTTAGCACTATATATCTAAACAACAACTAGAGGCAAGAATACCCATGAGATTGAGGATGGATTGATGAAGGACCAATTTGACAAACGTTTTGATGGTGCTAAAGGCAGTAGTTAGTCCCACAGATAAAAACAGACGTGGACTGTGATTCAACAGAGCACTGCAGTTATACCAGCCTGTTAGTGACAAGAAGTCCATTAGGTAAGTGACACTAAACCTGCTTCATGAAGCCATAATCCACAGAATCATTGAAGTGCAAGGAAAGTGATAACCTAGGCACCTGCAGGACAGCCAGGAAGAAGGGTCTTCTGTGTGGGCTACATCAATGGGCCATCATCAGATGGAAGACGTGAATGGGCCTTAATATAGTCGAAGACAACTGAACGGACGCTTTGAGTTAAGACTGCAATATGTGATAATGCCAAAGAAACATCACTTTAACAGCATGGGAAGAGTATCCATGAAAGATACCAGGAAGATGTACTGGCTCTATAGCACTGTAGACTTGAATAGCCTGCATGATGTTGCTGGAGTGGGCCTCTGGAAGAGGAACTTGATGACAACTGCCAAGGCAAGATCTGAGTCCAGAATATTGATTATATACAGAATGAAAACTAGAAGACTCTCCAAATGGAGAACCATCTAGCACTCTAGTAATAATGTTTTGCCACAAAACTTGCCTCCTCAGCAGAGAAACTTTTCAGCCACAGAACAGACTGATAAACCTCCAGTGTAGAGGAGCAGAGGTTGAATATATACCGAGAGCTGGAACAACTGTAGAACAACACGGAGGAAGCCAGGGCCACAGTTGGAGAAAATGAGGTTGCCATGAAGGCATGTCCTGACAAGCATAGGATAACAGTGGTAGAATGAAAGCTACTAAGCAAAAAATAAGATGCAGCCAGAGGTAGTGGGCAGAGATGAGAGGAGGATCCCGATGGAGAAAGAGGATGAGTCCCATCAAGAGATGTGGAGTGAATAATGAGGACCCCAAATCCAGAAAATCAAAAGTGCAGACAGGCCCAGCATCAGGGTACAGACTGGAGAGCAGCCCATGGCAAACCTGAAAGCTAAGAAAGGGAGTTAAGAGGCAGCACAGGAGACTGATGCTTTAGATGAGACATGGGGACAATGGACCAAGGGGAATTTCCATAAGCATGATGAACTCTAATCCCAGGGAAAGAGGGAAGCAGAAGTCAATGAACCCCCTCTTCCTGCACGACTATTTCTGTATAATAATCATGAGGGAGCACTGAACTTGTAGGGGTCATACAGCATTAGGGGAAATGGAAGTTATTCAATATTGATCCAAGAAAGAGAGCACAAATCCAATTTCTTGGATGAAGAGCCCCTCACTGGCATCAAGGGAACTCCATTGAAGAGTGATAAAATTAGGAGTGGAACCATGCAAGTAAAGTGTCCTACAAAGGCAGAGGAAGATAGCAGAAGGAGTGGTGCCAAGATGCTGTCTTGCTTGAAAGATGAAGGATTTGGGCATGCCTGGGTAGGACAAGAGCTATCCAATCCAAGTCATGAAGGATGGACAATGGACCTCTGGCCTGTCTACCATAGAGAAGTTCAAAAGGTGAAAGCCCCAAAGAGTCACTGGGAACTTCCCTCATGGCAAACAAAGCACAGGGTAGGTAACGATGCCACTCCTTAGGTTTAAGGGAGCAAAGTTTCCTTAAAATGGACTTGAAATCGAATGCTGGCGCTCAATCCTCCCATTACAGCTGGGATGATAGGGTGTGGTGAAGAGAGGCTTCACTCCCAGAAGTTGGTTTATAGATGTTGCATTAAGTCAGATGTGAATTGTGTCCCATGGTCAGACAAAATTTCTCTAGGGATCCCACTCTGGAGAAGATGGAAAAAAAGGGGGCTTTAGCCACCTCTGTAGTAGTTATGGTCTTTAAGGGAATGGCTTCAGGGAAACTCGAAGCATAATCATCTAATGTTAATACAGTGGACCCCCGTTAACGATATTTTTTCATTCCAGAAGTATGTTCAGGTGCCAGTACTGACCGAATTTGTTCCCATAAGGAATATTGAGAAGTAGATTGGTCCATTTCAGATTCCCAAACATACACGTACAAACGCACTTACATAATTACACTTACATAATTGGTCGCATTGGGAGGTGATCGTTTATGCGGGGGTCCACTGTATATATCTATGTCCCCCAGATGAAAGTAGAGATAACGGACCAACGATGTCAATAGCTACTCTTTCAAACGGTACCGTAAAGAAGGCATTTTGACCATAGGTACTCGCCTGGTACCTCGGGAGGATGACAGCTGGCAAACTTTACACGATCTACAATAGGTAGTGACATCTGAGGACATTTTTGGCCAAAAATAGATTTCCCTAATTTTATTTAAGGTTTTACGATGCGAGAAATGTCCGGCCACTGGCAGGTCATGAGCCATTTTAAGAACAGTCTCTCTGCAATGACTTGGAACAACTAAGATGGAATAGTCTATCTCATCTGAATTTAGTTTGAATACTGACTTGTACAAGATTTTTTTTTTTTTTTTTCAACAAGTCAGCCGTCTCCCACCAAGGCAGGGTGACCCAAAAAAGAAAGAAAATCCCCAAAAAGAAAATACTTTCATCATTCAACAATTTCACCACACTCACACATTATCACTGTTTTTGCAGAGGTGCTCAGAATACAACAGTTTAGAAGCATATACGTATAAAGATACACAACATATCCCTCCAAACTGCCTTTGGATAACTTGATTTTGTTTAGCGGCATTATGGCAATTCTGAAGAGAAGGGCAATTACGTTGTAAATTGACAAAGGAGTCCTTCGATATATCTAAAGGCTTAAAGTCAGGGAAAATCAAAGGATGGACAGTAGGAGAAGCCTGGGCTTTGGTCTGAGTCCTAGTCAAGACATTTATGGTATCGGAGGTGATATCTTCACTTTCATCTAACAAGTGAACCGGTGATCCTACTACCTCGCTTTCGAGAGTAGCATCACTGGTTTTTAATCCCACATGAATCTCACGAGACATTGTCTCATCTGAACTTTCGAGGGGCTTCTCTGACTACAGGAAGAGGGTCTGAAACACTTATGTCCATCTTTGGTGATGAAAGGTCAACCTCAGAAGGAAGAATGGCACCTTTTACATTACCTATTAGTACGGATGTAAGAAGTGATGGGAGCTAGTACGGCTTCAAAACCAACCTGTGAACCACTTAGACCTAATGTAACAACGGATGGTAGGAAAAGTGTCTGTACGGCCCAAGTAGTCTGAAAGTATAGTAGAGGAATGAGTTTCTTTAAGATTAGGGAACAGCTTATCAGAAATGACTATACATGTGCATCCAGTGTCTCGTAAAATGGTAGATACATTAAGTCCATTAACTGTTCCTGAACAGAAGGGTGCTTGGTCATTACAGTCTTTAAAACATCTTCCAACTTTTTGGACCTTCTTAGAAGGACAATCTGGACGTTTATGTCCCTTAACACCACACAAATGACAAACAGGAATAAAAGAAGTCACTTTACTTTCCACTAGAGGTTTTGATTTCTTAAGGTCTGATGAACCCTTGCCCTTAGGGTTCGATCCCTTTTGGTCTTTATAGGAATTGTGAGCCTCAGCATACAAGTCAACAGCCTCAGCAACTTCCTCAGCTTTAATCAGGTTACGTTCTCTGATGAAAGTTCTTATCTGGTGGGGAAGAGCTGTCAGGAAATGGTCAGCAACCATGAAGTCTCTAAGAGATTCATAACTGTGATCAATTCCTGAACTCTCTATCCAAAAGTCGAACAAACGAAAGAGTGTTACTTGTAACCGCTGAAAGTTCTGGCCAGGCTGTAAGGTGGCATACCTGAAATCTTTCCTGTAAGAATTAGTGGTTTTTTGATATGCTTTAAGGATTGCCTTCTTCAGTAGGTTATAATTACATATGATATCCTGCAACAAAGTTGCATAGATATTCCAGTGTCTGTAAACCATTCACACAGGGTAAGAGGGTAGTGTATTTTCAAACCTGATAATGTATGAAGTAATGTCATCACCCTCTGTGAAGGGAGGTAAATTAGGTGTTGGAATATGTGCACTAGCTGCATGATGTTCAATTACTCCTTCCTCTAATTGTTGTGCAAGAGTTAACTTTTTATTCTCTAATTCAAGGCGAGCTTTTTTTGAGCTCGCGATCCTTTTCTCTCGCTCTATTAACTCAAGTTCTCTAGCTTTTTCCTCCTGTTCTCTAGCTTTTTCCTCAACTTCTCTATCCTTTGCTCTTTCCTCAAGTTCTCTTAATTTAACTTGTTCCTCACGTACTTTAGCTTGTTCCTCACGTACTCTAGCTCTCTCCTCATGATCAAGTCCATCACGCTCCTTTTTGTCTTCTCTCT